CTATAGTATTGTACTGTATTATATTGTACTGTGCTGTAATAATATATTATATTGTATTGTATTGTATTGTATTGTATTGGTATTGTATTTGTATTTATTGTATTGGTATTTGTATTGTATTGTATTGGTATTGGTATTGTATTGTATTTGTATTGTATTGTATTTGTATTGGTATTGGCATTTGTATTTGTATTGGTATTTGTATTGGTATTGTATTGGTATTGTATTGTATTGGTATTGGTATTGTATTGTATTTGTATTTATTGTATTGGTATTGGCATTGGCATTTGTATTGTATTGTATTTGTATTGTATTTGTATTGTATTGTATGATATTGGTGTTTGTATTGGCATTTGTATTGTATTGTATTGGTATTTATATTGTATTTGTATTTGTATTGTATTGTATTTGTATTGTATTGTATTTGTATTGTATTGTATTGTATTGTATTGGTATTGTATTTGTATTTGTATTGTATTTGTATTGTATTGTATTGGTATTGGTATTGGTATTGTATTGGCATTTGTATTGTATTGTATTGTATTGTATTGGTATTTGTATTGTATTGTATTGTATTTGTATTGTATTTGTATTGTATTGTATTGGTATTGGTATTGTATTGTATTGGTATTTGTATTGTATTGGTATTTGTATTGTATTGTATTGTATTGTATTGGTATTTGTATTGTATTTGTATTGTATTGTATTGGTATTTGTATTTGTTTTGTATTTGTATTGTATTTTTATTTGTATTGGTATTTGTATTTGTATTGTATTTTTATTTGTATTGTATTTGTATTGGTATTGTATTGGTATTGTATTGGTATTTGTATTTGTTTTGTATTTGTATTGTATTTTTATTTGTATTGTATTTGTATTGGTATTGTATTGGTATTGTATTTGTATTGTATTGTATTGTATTGGTATTGGTATTGTATTGGTATTTGTATTGTATTGGTATTTGTTTTGTATTTTTATTTGTATTGTATTTGTATTGGTATTGTATTGGTATTTGTATTGTATTGGTATTGTATTGGTATTTGTATTGTATTGGTATTTGTATTTGTTTTGTATTTGTATTGTATTTTTATTTGTATTGTATTTGTATTGTATTGGTATTTGTATTTGTATTGTATTGTATTTGTATTGTATTGTATTGGTATTGTATTGGTATTGTATTTGTATTTGTATTGTATTGGTATTTGTATTGTATTGTATTGGTATTGTATTGGTATTGTATTTGTATTTGTATTGTATTTGTATTGTATTGTATTGGTATTTGTATTGTATTGGTATTTGTATTGTATTGGTATTTGTATTGTATTTGTATTGTATTGGTATTTGTATTGTATTGTATTGTATTGTATTGTATTGTATTTGTATTGGTATTGTATTTGTATTGTATTGTATTGGTATTTGTTTTGTATTTTTATTTGTATTGTATTGTATTTGTATTGTATTGGTATTGTATTGGTATTGTATTTGTATTGTATTGGTATTTGTATTGTATTTGTATTGGCATTGGTATTTGTATTGTATTGTATTGTATATTGTGCTTGTAAGACATGGCCATCCATCCCAAAAACCCAGCCCAGTGATTCCAGCCATGAAAGCCTTGGAGGAGCACAGAGGCTTGTTTGACAACAACAGTGGCTGGAGTCACGTGAGGCTGAGGGCTTGGTCACGTGAGGCGAGGCTCCGGGCAAGATGGCGCCCTTGCGCATGCGCAGAGGGGAGGGTGGTCTCTGTGGAGAGGCAAGGCGAGGTGAGAGAGAGAGCGAGAGAGCGAGGGGCGAAGGCAATGGGGGGTCCCGAGGAGAGCGGGGCGCGCGGCGGGAAGGCTGAGGAGGAGGAGGGGCCCCCGCCAAGGAGGGACGCCGCCACGCAGGCCTCGTGGGCCCCGGAGGAGGGAGGCAGGGGAAAGGCCTTCTCTCGGCGGGAGAAGGGCATCTCCTGGGCGGGAGAGGCCTGCAGGGAGGCCGCCTCACGCCGAGGCGCCTGGGAGTTGGGAGGCCTCAGCCGCAGCCTCTCGGGAGGCCTCCCCGGCCCGGGCAGGCCCAAGCCGGCGCTGTGGAGCCCCAAGCGGGAGGCCCAAGGCGGCGGGGGGGAGATCTGGGTGCCGCGCAAGGGGTGGAAGGCGGCGGCGGAGGGGGGGAGCCGGTCGGGGAGCGCCCCGGAGCCCCGCCAGGTGTGGGTGCCCAGGCAGAAGGGGCCCCCCGCGGATGTGTGGGTCCACCAGGTCAGGGACCCCTCCGGAGCAGGAACCATGTGGGTCTGGGCCAAAGTCACCAACTGCGGAGAGGAAGAGGACGAGGAGGGGGGAGAGGGGGGAGGCGGGAAGGGGGGGCGCTTCGGGGTGCCCTAGTTGAGGGGGGCGCCCGGGGAGGGGAGGTGTGGGGAGGGGGAAAGGCCCAGACAGGGCTTCCCAGGCTCTGCTTCACAATCACCAGGGCCATCCTGTCCTAGACTTGCAAGGGAGACCCCAGAGGGCATCCAGTCCAACCCCTTCTGCCACAAAGGAAGGCACTACCAAAGCCCTCCAGACAGATGGCTGTCCAGCCTCTGCTTAATAATAATAATAATAAAAATATCCAGTCCAAAGCCTTCTTCCACAAAGGAAGGCACCACCAAAGCCCTCCAGACAGATGGCTGTCCAACCTCTGCTTAATAATAACAACAATGATAATAAAAATAATAATATCCAGTCCAATTCCTTCTGTCACAAAGGAAGACACCACCAAAGCCCTCCAGACAGATGGCTGTCCAGCCTCTACTTAATAGTAATAATAATAATACCAGTCCAATTCCTTCTGCCACAAAGGAAGGCTCCACCAAAGCCCTCCAGACAGATGGACATACAGCCTCTTCTTAATATTAATAATAATGATGATGATAATAATAATATCCAGTCCAACGCCTTCTGCCACAAAGACAGCTTCAAAGCCCTCCAGACAGATGGCCGTCCAGCCTCTGCTTAATAATAATAATAATAATAATAATAATAATAATATCCAGTCCAGCCGCTTCTGCAACAAAGGAAGACACCATCAAAGCCCTCCGGACAGATGGACATACAGCCTCTTCTTAATATTAATAATAATGATGATGATAATAATAATATCCAGTCCAACGCCTTCTGCCACAAAGACAGCTTCAAAGCCCTCCAGACAGATGGCCGTCCAGCCTCTGCTTAATAATAATAATAATAATATCCAGTCCAGCCGCTTCTGCAACAAAGGAAGACACCATCAAAGCCCTCCCAACAGCCCTAATAATAATGATAATGACAATGATAATAATATCCAGTCCAACACCTTCTGCCACAAAGACACCACCAAAGCTCTCCAGACAGATGGCTGTCCAGCCTCTGCTTAATAATAATATCCAGTCCAGTCGCTTCTGCAACAAAGGAAGGCACCACCAAAGCCCTCCGGACAGATGGCCGTCCAGCCTCTGCTTAATAATAATAAAAATAATATCCAGTCCAACGCCTTCTGCCACAAAGGAAGCCACCACCAAAGCCCTCCAGACAGATGGCTGTCCAGCCTCTGCTTAATAATAATAATAATAATAATAATAATAATATCCAGTCCAACACCTTATGCCACAAAGGAAGGAACTATCAAAGCCCTTCTGACAGATGGCTGTACAGCCTCTTCTTAATAATAATAATATCCAGTCCAACTGCTTCTGCCACAAAGAAAGACACCATCAAAGCCCTCCCATACAGCCTCTTCTTAATAATAATAATAATAATAATAAGTCCAACCCCTTCTGCCATAAAGGAAGACACTATCAAAGGCCTCCAGACAGATGGCTGTCTAGCCTCTGAATAATAATAATAATAATAATAATCCAACTCCTCCTGCCACAAAGGAAGACACCACCAAAGCCCTCTTGATGGCCATCCAGTCTGTGTTTCAAAGCCTCACAAAGAAGGAGGCTCCAAAGCAGCTCCCAGAATCCCTGAGCAGGGCCAAAACCTTACAAAATAGAATGACAGGGAGAAATGTACACAGAGGGAATAGAAACAATATGTGCGAATGTCAGGGGAATGATGTCTGGCTTGAAAAAAGTGAGGATGCTCATCTCTAACCACAGTGCCAGTTGATGGGCTACTGACGACTGACACTGCTCGTTTGCTTCTGCTGGTTTCCTGCTACATGGCAGCGATACCAACTTTCCCCCGAGAAAATTCCTTGCGAGCCTTGTTACATTCCTTGTAACCGTACTTTCTGGATAACCCTTGTATAGGTCATTGAATATTTGCCTTTGTATTTGGAAGCTGCCTCAAGTCCCTTCTGGGAGAGAGGGTTAGAGATAAAATAATATTATTTGATACACAACAAGATTACTACACAGCAAACAAGATTACTCTGCTGGCTTTTATATTGGATAACACGTCAGACACTTCCCAAGTGTCTAGAACTGTGTGATGTATCGGTGAATAATGTGTGCAGATCCCAGTAAGGTGGCCTTTTGCAGCTGGCAGATGGTAATTTTGTCAGCGCCTATTGTTTTTAAGTCCAGGCCAAGGTTTTAAGGCGCTGCACCCAGTGTACCGATTACCACTGGGACCACCTTTATTGGCTTGTGTAGTTCGATCTTTAAATCCTCATACCATATAAGCTTTTCTACTTGCTTCGTATCAATTCTGCTGTCACTTGGGATTGCAATATCAATGATCCATACTTGGTTTTTTCCCCACCATACTTGGTGTTTTCCCACCATTCTGAGGTCAGGAGTATTGTGCTCCAAATGTCAGTCTGAATCTGGAAGCCCCAGAGTAGTTTGATGTGTTTGTTTTTAAAAAAAATATTATTATTATTATTATTCCTTCCCGGCAGAACAAGGCTGGACTGCATGGCCTTTGTGGTCTCTTCTAACTCTAGGATTTGATGATCATTGGCCGAGCGGATGCCTCTGGGAGTCAAAGGCCTAAACGCCCAAAAGACCAGAGTTTGGGGATCACTGTCTAGGCTCAGGTTTGGGGGTGGGGGTGGGGTGGGTTAGGAGTCAAAGCAAGAGCAGAGGATCCTAGGGATGGAGAAGCAGAGAGGCCTTGCTGGATGTGTTTTCCCCGGGGTGGCAACAGCCCAGTGTCCTTGGGGGAAATCTGGTGGCCACTGAGTCCGAGTCTCCTCTGGCGGAAGGGTAAGTCAAGGCCCAGGGGGGACCCCGGAGAGGCTGTTGCATGCCAGGGTAGGAGCCGGGCAACGATGGGGCCATTTGGGAGGGCATACTGAAGAAACAGAGGAGTCCTAAGGGCATCCACATGCATGAAGTATGATGGCGAGGCTTTTGTTGTTGAATGTCCAGTGTGTCGTGTGAAGGGGACAGAGCTTGGTGTCTTGAGACTCTTTACATACCTGCTACTTTATACAGGGGAGCATCAAACTCTTTAAGACATCAGGATCCTTCCCATCTGTGCTGCTTGTGGGATTTCAAGTTGGGAATGCTGGGGATTGGAGTGGGATCTTTGTGCATTCAGAGCATGTGATTTGACTTGTGAACTACAGCCTTTCCAAGAGCCCTCTTTTAGCCAAATTGCAGGTGAAGGGAAGACCACTTGTGAAATTTATAGTAGCCAGAAGGAAACATATATCCCGCCCTGGATGGAATAATTGACATACTGTATATACTTGAGTATAAGCCTAGTTTTTCAGCCCCTTTTTTTAGGCTGAAAAAGCTCCCTTCGGCTTATACTCGAGTCAAGGTTATTTATTTCTTTTATTAGTATTATTTTATTACATTTATTATTTTACTCTATTATTATTATATTATATTTTGCTCTATTATTATTCTATTTATTATTTTGCTCTATCATTATTACATTTACAGTATTTTACCCTATTATTATTATTATTATTATTACATTTATTATTTTAATCTATTTATTATTATTACTATTATTATTATTACATTTACAGTATTTTACCCTATTATTATTATTATTACATTTATTATTTTACTCTATTATTATTATATTTACATTATTTTGCTCTATTATTATTCTATTTATTATTTTGCTCTATTATTATTACATTTACAGTATTTTACCCTATTATTATTATTATTATTATTATTATTTATTTATTTATTTTACACGATTTATGATTATTATTGCATTTATTGCATTTATTATTTTACTTTATTATTTATATTATTATTATTACATTTATTATTTTACTCTATTATTATTATTATTATTACATTATTATTTTACTCTTATTATTATATTTACATTATTTTGCTCTATTATTATTCTATTTATTATTTTGCTCTATTATTATTACATTTACAGTATTTTACCCTATTATTATTATTATTATTACATTTATTATTTTAATCTATTTATTATTACTATTCTTATTAATATTACATTTACAGTATTTTACCCTATTATTATTATTACATGTATTATTTTAATCTATTTATTATTATTACTATTATTAATATTATTATTATTACATTTACAAGGAGTCCCCGGTGGCGCAGTGGGTTAAACCCCTGTGCCGGCAGGACTGAAGACCGACAGGTCGCAGATTCTAATCCGGGGAGAGGCGGATGAGCTCCCTCTATCAGCTCCAGCTCCTCATGTGGGGACATCTATGGCAAGCATCCTCAGAGATAGCGAGGTCTGTTGGAACTAGGAAAAAGGGTTTATATATCTGTGGAATGACCAGGGTGGGACAAAGGACTTTTGTTTGCTGGAGCTAGGTGTGAATGTTTCAACTGACCACCTTGATTAGCATTTAATGGCTTGGAAGTGCCTGGGGGAATCTTTCTTTGAGAGGTGATTTGATGTGCCTGATTGTTTACTCTCTGTTGTTTTGCTGTTGTAATTATTGAGTTTTTTAATACTGGTAGTTATTATTATTATCTTGAATTACAGTTTTATGTAAATATTCAAAAACGTTTAACCTACTGATGCCTAAATTAATATAATTTAATTGGTATCTATTTTTATTTTGAAATTAACCAGTAGCTGCTGCATTTCCCACTCTCGGCTTATATTCAACTCAATCCATTTTCCCAGTTTTTTGTGGTAAAATTAGGTGCCTTGGCTTATATTCGGGTCGGCTTATACTTGGGTATATACGGTATGTGCACAATGCTGGTAATAAGGATGCCATTGCGTTTTTGGGAGAAGTTACCTAAATACTTGTAAACTTGAGTCTTGGAGTAGAATTAAGAAGGAAAATGATTACAGTTCCACGATTGCAGAATTCTGGTTTTGCGAGTTAAAACTACCCAGAGCAGATGGTCCTAGCTGGCATGGCTGAAGCTTGGGAAAGTTCTTTTCTTTCCAAACTAAACGTCCCCACATAGTAGGATTCTGTTAGTCCTCCAAAAAACAACAACAAACAAACAACAAAGCTTTCATATGATATGATATTCCACAGCCTTCTTGGTGGTGGCCCCTCAGCTTTGGCCATAATGTGGAGTGAATGGAACGGCTGGAGTTCTCCCCTATCCACCTGTCTTTCATACACATCGAAGAGGGAAAGCAACAGTCTGTCTGTGAGCGACTGAATTGATTTTCCTCCCGAACCGCTTTGTGTGTGTCTTGCGGTGATTCCCCCTCCCACAGTCGGCTCTCCCTCCTGACTCTTCTCTGCCCTTCCAGGGTCTTAAACCATGCAGGTGAACCTGGGAGCGGCACTGCTGAGCTTGGCTCTGTGGACATTTTGTTCGCCGGTGCTGAGCACGGAAGGGAAACGGAAGCTCCAGATCGGAGTCAAGAAACGGGTCGACAACTGCCCCATCAAGTCCCGCAAAGGAGATGTGCTCCACATGCATTACCTGGTGAGCGATAAATAAATAGAAGAAATTGAGCTTCTTTCCTCTTCCATTCAATAGACCAGGGGTCGCCAAACTAAGGCCTGGGGGCCGGATCTGGCCCTCCGAGGGCATTTATCCGTCCCGCGGGGTGTGGAGAAGAGGGCGAGGCGGCGGGCGAAGCAGCTTCCTTCTTTCTCTCCTTCCCCCTTCTTTCTTTTCCTCTTTCCCTCTTTCTTTCTTTCTTTCTTTCTTTCTTTCTTTCTTTCTTTCTCTCTTTCTCTCCCTCCTTCTCTCCTTCCTTCATTCTCTACACTTCTTTTTTCCTTCCCTCCTTCTTCCCTTCTTCTTTTCCTCTTTATTTCTCTCCTTCCTTCCTTCTCTACCCTTCTTTCTTTCCTTCTTTCTCTCCTTCCCTCTTCTTTTCCTCTTTCTATCTCACTCTCTCCCTCCTTCTCTCCTTCCTTCTCTACCCTTCTTTCTTTCCTTCTTTCTCTCCTTCCCTCTTCTTTCCCTCTTTCTTTCTCTTTCTCTCCCTCCTTCTCTCCTTCCTTCTCTACCCTTCTTTCTTTCCTTCTTTCTCTCCTTCCCTCCTTCTTTGCCTCCTTCTCTCCCTCCTCTCTTTCCTTCCTTCTTTCTCCCTTTCTGTGTATGTGTTTTATGTGTGTATATACATAGATGTGTGTGTGTGTGTATACATGGTTTTGCGCATGCATTGTAATGTTTTGGGTTTGCTTTTTAAGTCTCTTCCACTGTGTTTTTCAGTGTTTTTATGAGTGATGGTCACTCGTTGGCCTGATAGATATATTTTGTCCAAATTTGGTGTCTATTCGTCCAGTGGTTTTTGAGTTATGTTAATCCCACAAACGAACATTACATTTTTATTTATATAGATTTTTCAAATTATAATCCGGCCCTCCAACAGTTTGAGGGACTGTGACCCGGCCCTCTGTTTAAAAAGTTTGAGGACCCCTGCAATAGATCATCTGTGGAAGATTCATTTTCTGAACTACAGCTTCCGAAATGTCTTAATATGCTGTGAATCACTCGCTGCAAGGGATGAGTGGTCAAGCAGCAGACGCTGATGTGTAAACTTGGCCCTAGTTAGTCACCAAAATGCATGGCTGAAAGTGACTGGCATGTTTCCTGTCTGTAGGTAGGAGCTGGGATTAAGAGTAGTGATTTTTTTTTCTGAGTAGGAAACAAGAGATCTGCTGAGAAGCATGGCTCACTTACAGAATCTTCTAATTTCCATCAACAGGGGAAGCTGGAAGACGGGACAGAGTTTGACAGCAGCTTGGCTCGCGACCAGCCATTTGTCTTCTCCTTGGGGACCGGACAAGTCATTAAAGGCTGGGATCAGGGCCTGCTTGGGTAAATGCGGGATTCCACTGGGTGCCGGGGAAGCATGGGGAATCCTGCTGGGAGGGCTTTATTTACCAAGCCGACTGATTGCGGCACCAGGATGGAAGCAGATGTGTAATGATGATCCATTAACGGGTTGGCGCGAGCTCTCTCCTCTCTCTCACGCCTTTCTTGTTTCAAAGTAATCCTTACTGCAGCGTTTCTCAACTTGGAGGTCGGGACCCCTGGAGGGGTCGCGAGGGATTATCAGAGGGGTCTCCAAAGACCATAAGAAAACACAGTATTCTCTATTAGTCATGGGGGTTCTGTGTGGGATGTTTGGCCCAATTCTATCGTTGGTGGGATTCAGAATGCTCTTTGATTGTAGGTGAACTATAAATCCCAGCAACTACAACTCCCTAATGTCAAGGTCCGTTTTCCCCAAACTCCACTAGTGTTCACATTTGGGCCTATTGAGTATCTGGGCCAAGTTTTGTCCAGTTCCATCATTGTTTGAGTTTACATTGCTCTCTGGATGTTGTTGAACTACGACTCCAAAACTCAAGGTCAATGCCCACCAAACCCTTCCAGTATTTCCTCTTGATCATGGGAGTTATATGTGCCAAGTTTGATTCAATCCCATCATTGGTGGAGTTCGGAATGCTCTTTGTAGGTGAAATATAAATCCCAGCAATTACAACTCCCAAATGACAAAATCAGTCCTCCTTCCCAACCCCACTAGTATTCACATTTTGACCTATTGAGTATCTGTGCCAAGTTTGGTCCAGTTCCATCATTGTTTGAGTCCACAGTGCTCTCTGGATGTGGTTGAACTACAATCCCAAAACTCAAGGTCAATGCCCACCAAACCCTTCCAGTATTTTCTCTTAGTCATGGGAGTTATATGTGCCAAGTTTGGTTCAATCCCATCATTGGTGGAGTTCAGAATGCCCTTTGATTGTAGGTGAACTATAAATCCCAGCAACTACAACTCCCAAATGACAAAATCAATCCCCTTCCCAACCCCACCAGTATTCAAATTTGGGCATATCGAATTTGTGCCAAGTTTGGTCCAGATCCATCATTGTTTGAGTCCACAGTGCTCTCTGAATGTAGGTGAACTACAACTCCAAAACTCAAGGTCAATGCCCACCAAACCCTTCCAGTATTTTCTGTTGGTCATGGGAGTTCTGTGTGCCAAGTTTGGTTCAATCCCATCATTGGTGGAGTTCAGAATGCTCTTTGATTGTAGGTGAACTATAAATCCCAGCAACTACAACTCCCAAATGACAAAATATTTTTTTTGAATGAAGGACCATGAATTGGGAATATTGAGTGTGCCAAATTTGGTCCAGTGAATGAAAATATATCCTGCATATCAGATATTTACATGATGATTCATAACAGTAGCAAAATTACAGTTATGAAGTAGCAACGAACATAATGTTACGGTTGGGGGTCACCACAACATGAGGAATTGTATTAAGGGGTCGCGGCATGTGGAAGGTTGAGAACCACTGCCTTACTGGAACTCACTTGGCACACAGAACCCCCATGACCAACAAAAAATACTGAAGGTCTTTGGAGGGATTTAGAGGAGTTGTAGTTCACCTACATCCAGGGTGCACTATGAACCCAAACAATGATGGATCTGGACCAAATTTGGCATGCATACCCAATATCCCCAAATTTGAATACTGGTGGGTTTTGAGGAGAATAGGCCTGGACATTTTGGAGTTGTAGGTACTGGGATTTGTCGTTCACTGGCAATCCATAAACACTCTGGACTCCACCAAAGATGGAATTGAACCAAACTTGGCACGCAGAACCCCCATGATTAGCAAAAAATACTGGAGGTCTTTGGGAGACATTCACCTGCATTTGGGGGAGTTTTAGTTCACCTACATCCAGAGAGCATTGTGAATCCAAACACTTTTTTTTCTCGTGTCAGGGCAGCCAGTCAAATATATTACATTTCTAACAGAACAAAGCAAACAAACAGAGAAAATACAAAATGTGTGAGTTTGGTAGTTGATTAAATGTCCTTTGACCAGTCTCTGGCCACTTGGAGTGCCTCTAGTGTTGCTGCAAGAAGGTCCTCCATTGTGCATGTGGCAGGGCTCAGGTTGCATTGCAGCAGGTGGTCTGTGGTTGGCTCTTCTCCGCACTCGCATGTCGTGGATTCCACTTTGTGGCCCCATTTCTGAAGGTTGGCTCTGCATCTCGTGGTGCCAGAGCGCAGTCTGTTCAGCACCTTCCAAGTCGCCCAGTCTTCTGTGTGCCCAGGAGGGAGTCTCTCATTTGGTATCAGCCATTGGTTGAGGTTCTGGATTTGAGCCTGCCACTTTTGAACTTTTGCTTGCTGAGGTGTTCCAGCGAGTGTCTCTGTAGATCTTAGAAAACTATGTCTGGATTTAAGTCTTTGATGTGCTGGCTGATACCCAAACAGGGGATGAGCTGGAGATGTCTCTACCTTGGTCCTTTCACTATTGGCTGCCACTTCCTGGATGTCAGGTGGTGCGATAACGGTTAGACAGTGTAATTTCTCCAGTGGTGTAGGGCGCAGACATCCTGTGATAATGCGGCATGTCTCATTAAGAGCCACATCCACTGTTTTAGTGTGGTGAGATGTGTTCCACACTGGGCATGCATACTCAGCAGCGGAGTAGCACAGTGCAAGGGCAGATGTCTTCACTGTATCTGGTTGTGATCCCCAGGTTGTGCTAGTCAGCTTTCGTATGATATTGTTTCTAGCACCCACTTTTTGCTTGATGTTCAAGCAGTGATTCTTGTAGGTCAGAGCACGGTCCAGAGTGACTCCCAGGTATTTGGGTGCGCTGCAATGCTCTGGAATACAACTCCCAAACTCAAGGTCAATGCCCATCAAACCCTGCCAGTATTTTCTCTTGTTCATGGGAGTTCTGTGTGCCAAGATTGGTTCAATTCCATCATTGGTGGAGTTCAGGATGCTCTTTAATTGTAGCTGAACTATAAATCCCAGAAACTACAACTCCCAAATGTAATTTTGCTATTTACAAATGACTCCCCCCAACCCCACCAGTATTCAGATTTGGATGTATCGGGTATTTGTGCCCAGATGATCCAGTGAATGAAAATACACCCTGCATATAAGATGTTTACATTACGATTCATAACAATAGCAAAATTACAGTTATGAAGTAGCTACGAAAGTAATTTTATGGTTGGGCGTCACCACCACATGAGGAACTGTATTAAGGGGTCGCGGCATGAGGAAGGTTGGGAACCACTGTTGTATGTATATATATCTTGTAAGCTGATCTGAGTCCCCTTCAGGGTGAGAAGAGTGACATATAAATGTCACAAATAAATAATATTTATTTGCAGACTGGGATCCGTTAACAAAGATTACCGAGTTCAAGTGAGATCCCAGATACTGGTATTTTATCAGCCCGAAAGCAGGAATGTGAATGTTCAGTTCTTGTGAGTTTTTTCGGGCTATATGGCCATGTTCTAGAGGCATTTCTCCTGACGTTTCGCCTGCATCTATGGCAAGCATCCTCAGAGGTGGATCTCACCTCTGAGGATGCTTGCCATAGATGCAGGCGAAACGTCAGGAGAAATGCCTCTAGAACATGGCCATATAGCCCGAAAAAAACCCACAAGAACTGAGTGATTCCAGCCATGAAAGCCTCCGACAATGTGAATGTTGTTTGCGGAGTGAATTTATGCTATTTCTATTTTTTTCTAGGATGTGTGAGGGCGAGAAGAGGAAGTTGGTGATTCCATCAGAATTGGGTGAGAGGCCAAGTGCGGGTGTGGGGATTGTCAGTGCTCTTCCACTTTTCCTTTAATGACCATCACTTGATCTTTGGAATAAGTCAATACGTCTTCTTCTGTTTCCTTCTCTCACAGGCTATGGGGACCGAGGGGCGCCACCCAAAATCCCTGGTAAGCTTCACATACCTTTCCTTTAGGTTCTTGTGGGTTTTTTCGGGCTATAGGGTCATGTTCTAGAGGCATTTCTCCTGACGTTTCGCCTGCATCTATGGCAAGCATCCTCAGAGGTAGTGAGGTCTGTTTGGAAGTAGGGAAGGGCTGGGGTGGGGCAAAGAGCTCTTCTCTGCTGGAGCTAGGTGTGAATGTTTCAACTGACCACCTTCATTAGCATTTGAAGGCCTGGCTGAGCCTGGGAAAATCTTTTGTTGAGAGGTGTTAAGATGTGCCTGGTTGTTTCCTCTCTGCTTGTTTTGCTGTTGTAATTTTAGAGTTTTTTAATACTGGTAGCCAGATTTTGTTCATTTTCATGGTCTCTCTCCTTTCTGTTGAAATTGTCCACATGCTTGTGGATTTCAGTGGCTTCTCTGTGTAGTCTGACATGGTGGTTGTTGGTGTGGTCCAGCATTTCTGTGTTCTCAAATAATATGCTGTGTCCAGGCTGGTTCATCAGGTGCTCTGCTATGGCTGACTTCTCTGGTTGAAGTAGTCTGCAGTGCCTTTCATAATTTTAGAGTTTTTTAATTCATTGAAATCCACAAACATGTGGACAATTTCAACAGAAAGGAAGAGACCATGAAAATGAACAAAATCTGGCTACCAGTATTAAAAACTCTAAAATTACAACAAAAACTCTAAAATTACAACAGCAAAACAGCAGAGAGGAAACAACCAGGCACATCTGAACACCTCTCAACAAAACATTCCCCCAGGCTCAGCCAGGCCTTCAAATGCTAATGAAGGTGGTCAGTTGAAACATTCCTACCTAGCTCCAGCAGAGAAGAGCTCTTTGCCCCACCCCAGCCATTCCACAGATATATAAACCCATTGTCCTAATTCCAACAGACCTCACTACCTCTGAGGATGCTTGCCATAGATGCAGGCGAAACTTCAGGAGAAATGCCTCTAGAACATGGCCCTATAGCCCGAAAAAACCCACAAGAACCTAGTGATTCCAGCCATGAAAGCCTTCGACAATACATTACCTTTTCTTTGTTTTTCACGATCGCTCCCACACGCGGGTTGGCATCCACACCCATAGGTTTCCCTTACACCCCGTGCATGTCTTTTTGGGCATAGGAGAGGGTTTTCGGCTATTGATGGTTTGTTTACCTGGCATCTGGAATGGCTCTTTAAATGGGTGAGCCGTCCCCATCTCCAATTCAGAGTCCCATGTACACTCTTTCCTTCTTTTCTCTTTCTTTCTCTGTCTTCTTTTTTTTTCCAGGTGGGGCAACGTTAATTTTTGAAGTGGAGCTGCTGAAGATTGAGCGGCGGCAGGAATTGTAGTTTCGGGAGAGAAAAGGGGAGGGGCATGAGAGTGAGTGAGTGAGTGGCATGAGAGGAATCTGAACAAGCGACTCAGGATTTGTTTGTTGTGGATGGGCCAAATAAAAGCACAGACCAGACGTGTCTTCTCTCTGTGGAGCCTGAGTGTCCGAGCAGCAGGACAAGGGGTGGAGTGTCCTTGGCTGCATATCTAAACTGACTTGCAGGTGCTTCGAGCGTCAGTCCCTGTTCTTTTGCGAGTGCAGTCTTATAATAATAATAATAATAATAATAATAATAATAATAATCCTTTATTTGTACCCCGCTACCATCTCCCAAAGGACTCGGTGTGGCTTACAAGAGGCCGAGCCCAAATACAACAATAAAAACAGCAGCAACAACAACACAATAACTCAAAAAACAAAGCAATAACATTAACGCAGGATTGTGGCGCAGCTGGCTGAGTGTCAGCTGCATTAAGATCACTCTGACCAAAAAGTCATGAGTTCGAAGTCAGCCCGGGTTGGAGTGGGTTTCCAACCAATTGTGTAGCCTGTTGTCGACCTTTGCAACCCGAAAGACAGTTGCATCTGTCAAGTAGGAAAATAAGGTACCACCTTGTGTGGGAGGCTAAATTAACTAATTTATGAGGCCATAAAGAAAACTCCGGGGAATGTGGAATGCGGAAGAACTTCATCGGTGTCGCTGATGGACGATGAAAGCAGCAGCTCCCCTGGCGGCCAGAAAAAAAGTTAAATAGCCTTTGTCTGTTAAATGTTGTTTGTCAAACTGGCATTGAATGTTTGCCATATATGTGTTTACTGTAATCCGCCCTGAGTCCCCTGCGGGGTGAGAAGGGCGGAATATAAGAACTGTAAATAAATAAATAAATAAATAATAAACAACACCCAATGACGCAATTAAAAACAATGGCCGGGCCAAATGTAATAATTAAAATTAAAAGTCTTCTCATACACATCACTCTGTAGTCCTTGACCCTCCTCCTGCCCAAACTGGAAGAATCCTAGAGTTGGAAGAGACCTCCTGGGCCATCCATCCAACCCCATTCTGCCAAGAAGCAGGAAAATCGCATTCAAAGCACCCCCGACAGATGGCCATCCAGCCTCTGTTTAAAAGCCTCCAAAGAAGGAGCCTCCACCACTCTCCGGGGCAGAGAGTTCCACTGCTGAACGGCTCTCACAGTCAGGAAGTTCTTCCTCATGTTCAGATGGAATCTCCTTTCTTGTAGTTTGAAGCCATTGTTCCATTGCGTCCTAGTCTCCAAGGAAGCAGAAAACAAGCTTGCTCCCTCCTCCCTGTGGCTTCCTCTCACATATTTATACATGGCTATCATATCTCCTCTCAGCCTTCTCTTCTTCAGGCTAAACATGCCCAGCTCCTTAAGCCGCTCCTCATAGGGCTTGTTCTCCAGACCCTTGATCATTTTAGTCGCCCTCCTCTGGACACATTCCAGCTTGTCAATATCTCTCTTGAATTGTGGTGCCCAGAATTGGACACAATATTCCAGGTGTGGTCTAACCAAAGCAGAATAGAGCATGGGGAGCATGACTAGATCTAGAGCAGCCTGGGGGTCGGGACCCCTGAGGGGGTCGTGAGGGGTGTCAAAGGGGTTGACAAAGACCATCAGAAAACATAGTATTTTCTGGTGGTCATTGGGATTCTGTGTGGGAAGTTTGATCCAATTCTATTGTTGGTCGAGTTCAGAATGCTCTTTGATTGTAGGTGAACTATAAATCCCAGCAACTACAACTCCCAAATGTCAAGGTCTGTTTTCCCCCAAACGCTACCAGTGTTCACATTTGGGCATACTGAGTATTCATGCCAAGTTTGGTTCAGATCCATCATTGCATGAATCCACAGCGCTCCTCTGGATATAGGTGAATTACAACTCCCAAACTCAAGATCAATGCCCACAAAACTCTTCCAGGGTTTTCTGTTGGTCATGGGAGTTCTGTGTGCCAAGTTTGGTTCAATTCCATCATTGGTGGATTCAGAATGCTCTTTGATTGTAGGTGAACTATAAATCCCAGCAACTACAACTCCCAAATTACAAAATCATCCCCCCCCCCCCCCCCAACCCCACTAGCATTCACATTTGGGCATATTGGGTATTTGTGCTCAATTTAGTCTAGTGAATGAAAATATATCCTGCATATCGGATATTACGATTTATAACAGTACTAAAATGACAGGTATCAAGTAGCAATGAAAACAATATTATGGTTGGGGGTCATCACAACATATGGAATGGTGTTAAGGGGTCACGGCATTAGCAAGGTTGAGAACCACTGATCTAGAGTGACCACCTCTAAAATCTGTACTTGAAATGATTCAGGGCTGTGGTTCAGGTCCACAAAATGCTTATACAGAATAGAATCAGTAGAATGTTTCCTGATTTTACTTTTGTGCTCAATGATCCTGAGCTTGACTTCTCTGCTTGTTTGACCAATGTAAATAAGTGAGCAGGGACATGTGATGGCATATACTACACCTTCAGTGGAGCAGGTAGCAAAGTGATTGATTCTGTATTGAGTTTTAGTGTGCTGGTTCTGAAAGAACTTAGTTTGTACAAACTGTGAACATATAGAACAGTGATGACAAGCATAGTTGCCTATCAGAATGGGTTCAGTGTTCATTCGCTTAGGGTCTATATCCGAGTGGATCAAAATATCCCTGATGTTTTGTGTTTTCCTATGAGCAATGAGGGGGTCTCTCACAACCCGGTACATCTCTCACTAAGTTCCAATACTTATAGTGTGTTTAGATAGGTTGGTCAAAGTGAGAGGCCATACTACTCTGTTATCCCTGGGTTTGATCTTATCCTCTAGTATAGCAGATCTTGGAACACGAAACAGATCAGGTGCAGGCACAATCAAAGGCTGAACTACAACAAAACCCAAAATAACCCAGGAAAAGGGGAAGGCTTGTTGGCCACCCTTGAGTTTAAAATCCCAAGTCGAGACGGTGCTGTATAATTTTGTGAATTATCCCAGCGTCTTGCAGTCATTGCCTAAAACACAGAAAGATGGGAATACATTTCCTCCTTTGGGGAAAGAGATATGTTGATTAACCTAATTGGTAGAGTTTCTCCATGCTGTCTGGATTAAGAAAAGCCTCAAATGTTGGGGAGATAGTGCCAGTGTTGTAACTATACAGGTAAACCTGTGCTTTTAGCCTGATTTAAAAGCTCTCCCTATAATCCATAGTAATGGTAAAGGTTTCCCTCGACATTAAGTCTAGTCGTGTCTGGGGGTTGTTGCTCATCTTCATTTCTAAACCATAGAGCCGGCGTTACAACACTGGCACTATCTCCCCAGTCTCACCACCGTACGGCATTCATAGAATCATAGAATCAAAGAGTTGGAAGAGACCTCATGGGCCATCCAGTCCAACCCCCTGCCAAGAAGCAGGAATATTGCATTCAAATCACCCCTGACAGATGGCCATCCAGCCTCTGTTTAAAAGCCTCCAAAGAAGGAGCCTCCACCACACTCCGGGGCAGAGAGTTCCACTGCTGAACAACTCTCAGTCAGGAAGTTCTTCCTAATGTTCAGATGGAATCTCCTCTCTTGTAGTTTGAAGCCATTGTTCCATTGCATCCTAGTCTCCAGGGAAGCAGAAAGGAAGCTTGCTCCCCCCCTGTGGCTTCCTCTCACATATTTATACATGGCTATCATATCTCCTCTCAGCCTTCTCTTCTTCAGGCTAAACATGCCCAGCTCCTTAAGCCGCTCCTCATAGGGCTTGTTCTCCAGACCCATTTTAGTCGCCCTCCTCTGGACACATTCCAGCTTGTCAATATCTCTCTTGAATTGTGGTGCCCAGAATTGGACACAATATTCCAGGTGTGGTCTAACTAAAGCAGAATAGAGGGGTAGCATTACTTCCCATACTTCCCATGAGCATCTGACTTGCATGACAAACAAAGAGTTGGACATCCTGTGACAGCAACCACTGAGTTCCACAAGCAAAAGGTTGACAGATTGTTTCAGGACAATCGTATCACTCAGAAATGTCAAGCATAATCGACATTTCACAAGAACGTGAGGGTCACATTATTGCTTTGCTTGGCTATCGGAAGATCTGTGCACGATGGGTTCACAGCAGAACTTCAGAGACTGGATCTCACCACTGTACGGCATCCTCCATACAGTCCAGATTTAGCACTGCCTGACTTCCATCTGTACCCGATAATCATAGAATCATAGAATCAAAGAGTTGGAAGAGACCTCATGGGCCATCCAGTCCAACCCCCTGCCAAGAAGCAGGAATATTGCATTTAAATCCCCCCTGACAAATGGCCATCCAGCCTCTGCTTAAAAGCTTCCAAAGAAGGAGCCTCCACCACACTCCGGGGCAGAGAGTTCCACTGCTGAACGGCTCTCACAGTCAGGAAGTTCTTCCTCATGTTCAGATGGAATCTCCTCTCTTGTAGTTTGAAGCCATTGTCCGTGTCCTAGTCTCCAAGGAGTAGAAAACAAGCTTGCTCTCTCCTCCCTGTGACTTCCTCTCACATATTTATACATGGCTATCATATCTCCTCTCAGCCTTCTCTTCTTCAGGCTAAACATGCCCAGTTCCCTAAGCCGCTCCTCATAGGGCTTGTTCTCCAGACCCTTGATCATTTTAGTCGCCCTCCTCTGGACACATTCCAGCTTGTCAATATCTCTCTTGAATTGTGGTGCCCAGAATTGGACATAATATTCCAGATGTGGTCTAACCAAGCAGAATAGAGGGGTAGCATTACTTCCTTAGATCTAGACACTATGCTCCTATTGATGCAGGCCAAAATCCCATTGGCTTTTTTTGCCGCCACATCACATTGTTGGCTCATGTTTAACTTGTTGTCCACGAGGACTCCAAGATCTTTTTCACACGTACTGCTCTCGAGCCAGGCGGCCCCCATTCTGTATCTTTGCATTTCATTTTTTCTGCCAAAGTGGAGTATCTTGCATTTGTCACTGTTGAACTTCATTTTGTTAGTTTTGGCCCATCTCTCTAATCTGTCAATCGTTTTGAATCCTGCTCCTGTCCTCTGGAGTATTGGCTATCCCTCCCAATTTGGTGTCGTCTGCAAACTTGATGATCATGCCTTCTAGCCCTTCATCTAAGTCATTAA